CATAAATTAATTAATAGTGTATTAGAAATAAACAGCACAATGTTCAGCTAATTAAATAATCAGACTTTATTTATACTTTAAAATTATCAATAATTTACATAATTTTATTATAATTTCTATTCTTACTAGTGTTACTTAGCGCGCTTTTTTCTTTATGTATTTTTTGTTATTTATTACATTATGTAAACCTTTTACATGATAAATTTGAGATTCTACTGGTATGTACGTATAAATAAATCATGTTGTTTGAAACACTAAATCCATAGATATTCATTTATGAATAAAAATAAAATTGGCATCGATTGTTTCACAACATGAACTTTTACTTATTTTAAGATGTATCAGAAAAATGATCCAAAAGATTAATTAAGCCTATAATTGATAAAATATACTAAGCTATTATACTATTATATAATATTGCCCCTTACATACTTAATAGTAGTGGTTATGACCTCATTCTTACGCTAGTATGAATAATACATTTAATATTGTCTTTTTTTGTTGCTTTGTTGAAAACATTTATGCTTCAAATTTCATTTCATTCAAAAATTTCATTTCATTTGAAATTGAAATTTCAAATTTCACGGGTTCAATATCTGATAATTAATATCCGTTATCCGAATCCCGCTAAATTTACAATAAACAAAAGAAAAAAATGTGTTTTCCTTCACTTTATTCTAGTCCTTTCTCTTTCTTCGAACCAAATTTTAAGACAATATTAATTGTAGTATCACAGGTGGTTATAAAATTATCGATTTATACAGATAATTTCAAAATATATTCTTTATTTTGTTAAACAAATTATTAAAGATATATTTTAATTTTTGCAGATTATTGTCCATTTCTTTTATTCATCAGTTAAATTTACTGCCGAAACTCTCATACTTCTAGATTTATAATGCAACTCAAAGTATACAAAAATTAAAAATGTTGTGCACTTTTTTCTTATCAACCAATTACATCGCTATACATGTCTGCAACGGTTTTTTTTAAGATAGGAGAAAGGATAGGAAAAGAGGATATGACTGAGTTGCCTGTCTGGGCTTTCACCAACAGCATCAAGTATACAAGCAGAAAAAGATAAATTAAAGAAACAAAAAACTAAAGACAAATATTAATGCATTGAATAATGATATGTACATACATATGAATAAAGGTGATAAAAAAGTTACAGTATCATCTTTTCTTTTAACTACAGGTGACAGATCCGATAAGAATAAAAATTATGTTAAACTTATATAAGTTATTAAATATTTTAATATATAAACAGTACCTGGCTTTTTAATTTACTGAAGACTGTGCTGCTGACATTTAATACATACTTATTTAATTTATATCAGATAAACGAAATAGCATCTGTGCCACCTTGAGATAGATTTCACTAATTTCAATAGCTTAGAAAAAAATTTTAAAAAGTATGATGTTAAGAGTAATCTTAAAAATGACCGATAACACATTATAAGATAAAAAAGAGTAATACGTATAAAAATACATAATGTTTTTAATAATCTAGTGACAGATAATTTTACCGTTAATCGTTAAAAGAATAAAGCAATATTATTTAAAAAGTACTGATGTAACTTGTTACTTTATCAAAAACAATTACAATACTGGATACAGTGGTGGATAAAGAAGATGTTAGATGTAAAATAAAAATGTCGAATAGAGACAGACGTCAGTAGCAAAAAAAATATAGGGAGCGCATATGTTGTATTTCAATACTCGGCAAATATCACATATGTATAAGGAAATACAACAGGATAAGGGGTGCTTGCGAAGCAAAGACGAAAAAACGGTAGAGATATGAGGACGAGGTTCTCGACTCGCTTCTTGCTTTACTCGCTAGTAAAAAATTCAATCTACAGAAAGTTTATGTTTTATATGCGCGTACGTAGCTGTCTCACGCCACGAAACGAAAAAAAAGCACCGAGCGTATCTATATGCGAATATTAGAAACGAACTCGTTTTATTCACAACTTTATGGCCACCAACGCTCAGCCTACTCTAAAATTACATTTGTAAGCGCGGCTTCTTTCTGAAGTCAATGCGCCAGTGATGAACTCACCGGTTTATATACAATAATATATTTATTATTTTTCCTTATTCAAATCTTTTCGTTACTAAACACTAAACTAACTCCGGTATGGTATAAGTTTTTAAAAAATATTCAATTATTGAATGATTTTCCAAAATAAATATATATTCTCACTTACACACGATTATCAAATGAACTTTATTATCAGTACACCGTAGAACATGGTAAAATCCCTTTTTACCCCTTCCTATCATTATAGTAATAACTTTTAAGCAATCCGGACTCGCAGGGCTCAACTTTAAGGCAAAATCTGATTCGATAACAGACCGATTTATGTAAATTTTTTTATTTTTTAGATAATCCATTTATTTACTCTAAAAGGAAGACTTTTTCCAAAAACTTTTATCTCTTTACCAACGACAAAATTACTGTTAATGTAGTCCCATTTTTTCTGTTTTCGACTTTCACAGATATGTTCTATAATAGATCTATATCTATTTTTATATTAGTTGTAATCGATTGTAATACAGCTGTCATTTGCATCATCTGTACAGTTATCATTTGACATTAAACCATTCTACAATTTCGTTACAGAATTAACATCAATATAGTTATGAAATACTATTATGTATAAATTTTAATATTTTAATAATTTGAATTACTTTGCGTACCTAACATTATTATGTTTCATAAAGCTGTACAGTTTGATTAATAGAAAATGTTCTACGATACATTTTTCATTAAAACACAAAAATTACTTTCATAATCAACAGATATATTTATGTTTTATATTTATTTTCGATAAGTAACGTATGCGTAATAAATATCAGTGCGGAATATTTTAGGAAAATTGTCTCACGAAATATAATGAAAATCATAATTTACATAATCAACAGCTACACATGATCAATCTTATACTCACGTACTTATAATAAATCACATTTCAATTGAATCATATTATACATCCATTTATTATATTATATATATCGATTTTATATCTTATATATTTATATATAATTTATATTTTTTCTTGTCTAATTCAACGCAGGAATGGAAAATAGGCAGGTTTAATAAGAAAAATTTTTCAATTGTTGAAATATACGAAATATATTTACATAGAAACATTAATAGGTAATATGTATATGTACACACGCGTGTACGCGCGTGCGTGGGTGTATGTATGTGTGTGCGGGTGTGTGTGTGTTTATATGTATTGATATTATAATATTTCAACTTGCTTCTGCGTATTTGTCGTATAAAACATTTACAGGCAGTAAATCTCACGTTGCAAAAATATTGCCGCAAGGCTCGAGTCATAGACAATTTAAAGATCGAGCTCAAAACAATATTAACGAATATCAAATGGATATTAATAAATTGATATACTGCAAAAAATTAAAACGTTTTGATAAAATTTATAAATTCCTTGCAAACTTTTTCTTAAAAAATTAATATGTCCGGCTTATTTCAACTCCTTTACCATTCTTACTAAACTCTCTAGTTTTCTCTCTTTCACTCTCATCCATAAATAGCGTTTTATATCATCCGAATGCTATGCATTTGACGGTGTCTCACTGTTTAGATACGTCGTATCAATCATTACAATATTTACAAAGAAAACGTACAACTTAAAAAATTATTATTTCAGAAGCTTTTACACTATACTATATCATGAAAAATATTCATTATTTCAGTAATGTTGAACTGAATTATTTTCTAACCTCATCTTTTAATCTGCGCAATTAATTATGCTTTGATTACCAATTGCACTAATTTAAAATTTGTTTTTCTAATTTTTATACAACTCGTAATTTTGATTTTTTACAAGATTCGCCCAGAAATCCATTAGCAAAAAATAACGGCAGTCAAATTAATTTTATTTATATCATATACTTTTGCCTTTTAAACAAAAAATTATATTCTACAGATTTCTCCATATTTCGTATACGTCGATTTATCAATTTATAATAATCAAGCTTCCGGGAAATTTGTTCTGTAACATTAAATAAACATACTGATCTATCATACGATCTTAGTCATATTTGACTTACATGAAATGTATAAACTTTGCACATTTTCTGTTATTACTTTTACTATTATAAATAATCTTATATATTTTCATGAATTTAGTAGCAAAAGTTATTTCCAAAAAATACACACGAAAGCAAAGTACATTAGCCGTTTAAAATATATTTCATACAATTTCCTATTAATCTTAAGACTGATTCTTTTGTCATCAATATTATACCCTCATCAATCATCTGACTGCTCAATATTAAAAAAATAATAAAAAAATTATTACAATATTAATAGTAGACGAAATGGCATTAACGAGATCGCAGTTACCGACGTTACCATTGCATGGTTATAGTATATAAACCATTACTTTCGGTACTGTTATAAGAACTTAAAAATCACACATTGAGTCCACATAAGTTTTCGCGAAATTCTCATACATTCGCTATATCATCTGCTCATTAATTCTTACGTTTATTTTTAATAATTCTCATGGTATAAACGCTATGACAAATTAAGCTAAAATTATTTGTTCACTAAACAAAGCTTCCTAACTCAAAAAAGCTTTTCAAGAACTATGCATTTCTTTCGGAAACTTTCTGCTTTGTAAGCAAAAAAGGCTATAGCAGTGTCTAAAAATGCTGATATATATGTAAGTTTTGTACAAATATCATTAAACATCTAGTACAAAGTCGTAATGTATAAATGTATAGAAAGCACCTTTATTATAAAAAGTGTATAATTTTTTCTTTCTTCGATACCTAGTAACAAGACTTAGGTTTCATTGTTTCGCTATTTTGTATAAACATATAAACGTGTAAAATTAGTGAATTTAGATCCCTAAAAATGGATATAATTTAAGTGTTTTGTTTCATTGATTTTCTGCTAGTTATTGATGATGAATTTCCAGGAGCTTTGTGTGAGATTCGAAACGGTAAAATTGTTATAGAATTGATAAAATCGACGATGTTCAAAGACACTATCAAAGCTTGTATCAATGGCTCGCTGCACTCATTGGCTTTGCAAATAGTATAAAAAGTTCATCAGCCATTGTTTAAATAGATGTAAAAATATCGATGACAAATGAATAACCGATTAAGCAACACAATTAGCTTCGAATTCCCATTCGTTTTTGCGCATTTCGTAATATTTGTTGTTCCTCAAAAAAGCTCTTTGATTAGCAAAACTTGCGGGGAGTTGGTCATCAAGGAAATTGATACGCCCTCAAACTCTCCACCAGTTACAGAGACAGCAGTACGATTGACTTTCGGGACGGAACTGATCGATCTGCTATGGTCAGTGCATTGATCTGGCCGCGGTCGTCAGATGTGTCGTCTCCGCTCGCTTAGGCGGTGGAGGCGGGGGCCTCCTCTTTCCGACAATCGCATTGGCGATCATGCTTCTGTTCTCGTCGGCGAAGCGCACGCTGGGCTGCCTGACGGGACTGGTAGTATTGCTAGCCGCGATATACTCGACAGGCGCGTTCGGATCCGTGGTGTACACGTTTTCATAGAGGTTGTCAGCCCCGTAGTGCTCTTGCACCCAATTGGACACATTAGTCTCCCGGTAGTCGGCGGTAGCTGGCGGCGGATCCCTGAAGCCTAGCACCTCGTGAGGCGTGGTCGTGGTATCAAGTTTGCACTTCTGCGCCACCTGCCACTTCTTCCTCATGACACGCTGCAAATCCTTCAGAAAATCGCCCGGGGGTGCTTGCTCGGAGACAGCCAGCTTTTTGGGCGAGGTCAGTCTCGTGCTGTCGGAGCGCCGCGGCGGCAGGGGCTTGCGCACCGGCAATGCCGGGCTGCCCGGCTCCTGCTGAGGCGGCAGATTAAAGGAGATCTTCTTGACCGTGGGTGTTTTAGACAGCTTGGGTGACATTGGCGGCTCCTGGATGGTCACGCGGCGCTGCGACTGCGGACTCGAGCTAGCCTTTAGCTCGGCCAGGTAGGGCGGGCTCGCATAGTGCCCGCTTCCCTGCTTCAGGGCGCTCCGCCTGATGGTGTCGCCGCCGACCACGGCGCTCCCCTTAGCCAGTGCCGAGCCGTTCATCTGCTGTGTCTGCTGCTGGCTGACGTAGATAGGTTCGCAGATCTTGGAGTTCTGCCTCGAGAGTTGCGTAGCGCCCCCGGACCCACTGATCTGCGAGCCGTAAGCCGGCGGAGGAACGAAGGGCGGTGGTTGAGCGACGATAAAGCTGGGCGAGCTCGGGACGTAGGTGGGCGTGCTGGCATTCGACGCCGGGAACAAGTTATGGGACGAGGAGTTCTGTGAGCCGTTGACACCATTCAAAGTGGCCGCGATCGAGGCGTAGATGAGCGATGGTCGCTGATTACTGCTGACGTGCGTGGGCATGCTGTTGGGAGAAATCGAATTGTTTGGGGTGTCCTCAGCGGCTGTCTGCTTAGGCTTAGCGCGACGGATGGTCGCGGTCTCTCCGACCAGAGGACTCGGCGGTGGCGGTAGAGAAGCCAAGCTCAGCGTCGAGCCACTTAGATCGCTGGTATCGCACATTAATAGTTCTCCAGGCGCCGGCGGTGGCGGCAGCGAGTCCAGCGAGAGGTTCGAACGAAACATCTCCGGGGGAGGTGGAGGCAATGGTTCGCTGTCGGACTCGGCTTCTTCGGTCAAACGTGATGGCGATGGTGGCGGTGGCGGTAGAGAAGTTATCGAGTCCATCTGAAAATAAAGTAAATGTTAGTTACCGTTGCTCTGGTACTAGTGGTGGTTTTGAGTTTCGACCAGCCAGTCAGTTATCTACTGGACAATTCACACTGTGACATACGACGAACATGGAAAGCAACTAACCATGCAAGATTGTATTGGACTAGTCGGTGATTTGAGCTCCTGGCTTTCGGTACGATTATAATTCAGTGGACTGGCTCGTTCTCTAACGGGGGTACCCGGTGGGACTGGACTAACAGGTGTTGCATTTCCGGACCTATGATGTCTTTTGAGGGTACCAGAACCATCGGAATCCGTACCGCTTCTCCTCCGGCTGTGTCGGCGAGTCAAGGTACCCGAGCCCGAACCGGTCGGCGATGGGCAGTCCGGCACGTCGCGCACCGTCTCCCCTACCTCCTTCAACTGACGAGTGATCGAAGTCAGTGGAAGTTTTGGGTTCATGGACGGCTTCCTCTTAATAGTACCGGTGGGAAACTCTCCACACTCAAAGGCCACCTGTTGATTGGCAATCGAACACAGATGAGCATGAAAAATTCGATAATCTTTGAGAAAGTGGCCCGTCACCGAAGAAGAACCACCTACCTCGCAGCTGCTAGGTGCGCCATCGGACAAACATCCGCTAGAGCTGGAACTACTGGCGCGACTCAAGCGGCCGTCGCTGCCGTAGCTCTGACGCTGCTCGCTGCCGTTGTAGCTTTGCCGCTGGACGACTATGGAGTCGTAGTGCCTACCTTGGGTTTGGATCATCAGCGTGGTCTCGCCGTTGAGCCTCGAACACTCGTTATACTGTCTGGCGTTGTCGTTGGCCGTGTTGTACTGCGTCTGATTGGCCGGCGTGGTGGCGATCGAGCTAACGGAGCAGGACCTTGCATGCGCCAACATATCCAGATCCTCCTGAGCAAGCTCGTCCACTAGCGTCCGATAATTCTCCATGATTTTCGGGCCGTACTTGGCCACGCGTATGCCAACCATCCAGCGTTCAAGAGCAGCATTGTCCTCAGCGCACAGAAACTTGATGTACTTAGTGGATTTGGCCTGCTGCAATCGCGGATGCTTGATGGCAAAACAGCAGTCCGTCGGCGCTTTAAACTTCTTCCGCCAGCCGACGCCGTAGTATATTTGATTCACGTCGAATGTTGCTAAGCAGACCAAGTCACGAGCTGTGCGAGCCTTCTCCTTGGGCCAATAGTACAAACCGGATGCGCGCAAAATGAAGTGATATCGCTTCCAGCCTTTCTTGCTGTCGGACTTCAAATACAGCGGACCTTCGACCTGGACACAATGACAAATCAGTATCTGCAGTATTCGATTATTATGTTACGTTAGTCACGCGCAGGTTTCCTCTGATTTCGGTATCAGTGTACTCTTCTGCTATTGTAAGCGTGCAATACCTCTGGGACTCCAGCGTTGCTGGTCGAGAAAAATTCCTCAAGCAGAATGTTACGCGAGTGATCGTCGTACTCGCCGTTGCCACGATCCAATGGGCCCAAGAGAAATTTCTCGGGAGCAAGGAACAGCTGCGTTTTGTCTGACCTTTCAACGAATAACAGCTTGTTCTTGGAGTCACGAGTCCAGAGCAGCAGATTTTCCACCAGAAGCTCGTGGTCCTCGTACACTCGTTCTGTGTGTGAAGGAAAGACACGTTATTGTGGAACAAAAGGCAAATCTGTCAGTGAAGATAATCGCTGTTCGAAACGATCATTACCCATAAAGAGGTCAGGAAGATGCTCGACAACGGCCCACTTGGGATCCATTGGCACGTGATTTTTGTCTGCTAGCAATCTGCAGACATGGGCTACGCTCATGTTCTCGTCGACGAGGAGGCTCTTGCCACTACCGTCCAGAGTGAACACTTTAATGAAAAGCTTCTGCACGCTAGCCTCCCGCATCTTCTCCAGGGCTAGTCGTATTTTTTCTGCTTTCGCCCGGCTGGCAGCGTCTGACAAATATTACACGTTATCGCGATGAACTCAAAGAACAAGAGCAGTTTACGAACCGATAAGCTGGTGAGGCTGCTGTTGCGGGGCTGTGTGAATGTGAGTGGTCTGGGCTGGTTTGTGGCCGGAACCGCTGCTGCTCGCTGAACTCTCGCTCGACAGCATTGACACCGTGTCGGAGAAGGCACTATCGTTGTCTGGGCTATCGGTGCGCATTCCTGAAAGTAGCACAATCCACAGCGCATGATGCACATCATTCAAAGATAACTTACAACTCGTGCAAATGCCAAGGAATGCTACGCGACGCGCGGATGCGGCTTTTCTAAGTCGAGACACAGCTTACCTTCATTTTTGCCAATGTCAGTGTTATCCTCCGACTGAATCCTGCCGTTGCTAGGCCTGTTTTGCCGCTGGTTCTCTGAATTCGGCGCAGACGCCATGTCGCTCTCGCATCTTTGCTCCAGTGCACACAGTTCGCCGAGTATTGCATCGAGATCAACATCTGGCGAATCTGTGGAAAATTATTAACGATTTTAATATTCAGGATTTGTCGCCACGTATCATCTTATCATTGTTTTAAGATATTCATAATTTACACGAGCGACTAATTGCGAGCACGAATATTTCGCTCTGTCTAGGAGCAAGAATTACGGCTTTAGAATATTCTTTATATCGGCTACTTTTCAATGATTTCAGTTTTCTATTGGATCAAGCATGACGGTAGAACAATCTAAAAATGACTCAATTCAATCCAAAATAAACAATTGCTTTATGATGCTTTATTTAATAAATAAAGAAAAAATGCTCGATAAACTTCATTAACATCGATTATTCCTAAAAAACCTTAACTAGTACACAAGATTATGGCTCAGAATGTTCCCATTTCAAAAACGATTTCACCATTGATCATACAAGTACACATAAAACATAAAATAGTTTTATTCACAAAATCTATACAGTGAAAATTTGGTGTATAGTAGCTGCGACACGTTCTTCGCTCTTAATGGTGCAATCAATCCTTCTTCCAAATTCTCATTGCACCCAGTTGTATCTTATATCAAGTTTTTATTTTTTGTTAAAATTTGCCAGAAATCGATGAAGAAATATATTTACAGTATAAGTACTATAGATACTAGATTTATACTCATTTATCCATAATAAAATTTGCTTTAACAAATCATTTGCAAATTATTAGAAGTTGTTACAGATTTTTACATTTTTACTGTAAAATAGCAGTAACAAAAATGGGTACTGATTATATAAAATTTTCTGAGGGATCGATTGACGTTTTCTTTTTACGATTGAGCAATAACAAAAAGAAGTTATAATCGATAAACCAACAAGACGACTTTTTTGTAATAAAATGAAAAATGCAATACGTCACTATCATTTCTAGAGGCCAAAACTTTTTCCATCATATCCAGTACAAAAATGTTCTTACTTTGAGTATGCAACAAATAGAAGCATTTTTTCCTTTTTTTCGTAGTTATATATAATTATGAGGATCAGTCTCTTTTATATAATTTTGTCTGCACGTAAATTATAAAGGCTACTAATTTTCATATCATTTTTACAGCTTTTTAATTGAATAAAAGTCATATTATTAAATTCGATGCATACTAATTGTATGCATACTGATAGTACTTGAACTAAATCAAAGCCGAAGACATTAAAAAGTCGTAGATATAATAAATGTGATAAATTTTAGGTAGGCTAAACTAGAGGAACATCTCATCACATGAATAAAAAGAGACTCGCCGAAACAGGCAAAGCAATGGAATTGCTGTCGTTTTCTAGACAGAACGATAATGAACCGGAATCATACATTGACAGCTAAATAGAGCCACCATGTGGCACCTGGCTATTTATACCGAATACGTATATCCACACAATGTGCAGCTCCATTATGCTAACCAACGCAATTAGCCAAACCAACAAATTTTCTAGAACGATTTCCGATAAATAGTGCAATCTCCGCTCTACATCATTTTAAAATGTACGTAAGCCACTAATTTAATTACATAAGTACTACTAATACGAGTACATTTCCCCGCAATTGAATCCGTAAAATAATATTGGTGAAATTCGATGTGATGAATCACAAGTAAATATGGAAAAAAGATACTCATAGCCAACTCGAAGAGTATATATTACCGATTAAAATATATGTATTCACAATATTTTATTGATTACGACATTTTGTGAATATTTTCATTAACAATAGGATGTACATTAGAAATTTTTTGTTTAATTTCAATCGACCTGTATAAAATATCAGGTGTATATTTTTGCTGGCCTTCTTGGCTCTACGATTAATATAGAATATTTTAAATAAAAAAAAAAAAAATATAGAATATTAGGTATCGTGATAAAATTTTGCAAGTTTTAAGTGCACAATGTTAGCGCTGGTGAAGCGTTGCTAAGTTGAAAGGAATTGTATCGAATCATAAATCGTAACAATGACCTGAGTCATGAATACCACCTTTGTGTTTATACAACAGTTTCATACATGACAATATTCAATATTACTGGTACTTTCATAAAACACGCTATTAGAAATAAATGGTACTTAATTACGGGTTATGATTATTTTTTCATAGCGATTCTCAGAGAAAAAGCAAACAAAATTTTCAACATTTGCCTTCATTATCTAATTCAGTATCTAGTACACATTGTCAGGGGTTATTGGGCTATTGATATAGTGTAGCCTGATCAATCAGACAAAATAAAAAACGCATATAACTTGTCATGATGCGTCATCACAGAAATTAACTTATCAAGCTCGCGCGAAATCCACTCCCGACAAGAGGATGCGACCGATCATCAGCTGATGCCGTCGAGCCCACACGCGCACATATCCGAGACCTTGCGAAAAAACACTTCTCAGGGTCTACTAAATTGACGCGCACGACCCTTACGCCCGCGCACAACCACTCGCGCACTCACAACCCGGACTGATACTCCCCCAGGAAGCTAGACGACGAAAAAGATTGCGCTGAGATCAGCTGATCATAGCAACTGTTACTAAGCTCGCGTTAGACCTGGCTAGACCAAGAGAGGGGCAACCGAGCGCGTCAACCGATACGAGAGCGATCGGACGCGAGCGAAGGGAAATCGGTAGGGCTAACGAGCGCGTGTGAGAAAGAGACAACTTTTGGTGTTTGCGCAGATAAGAATGGTGAGTGGTGACTCTTTGTAGCCGTTGCTGGGCAGAGGACGGAGACCCTGGCTGTTGGATGTTGTTGAGGAGACGTTGTTGTGACCCGTGGTCATTCACGGCGGGGTGAAACCGATCGGCACAGTGAACAGTGTTGCACTTTCGGTGGGTCCCAGATGACAGAGAGCGAGATGTTGCAGAACAGCGCATAAATCGACAATGTTACCGATACGCATTTTGATTCTCGGTCCGATGATCGAAAAATTTAGTGCGCGATTCAACTTGCCACCGCGTATCACTTTATGTCGGTACAATGTTTACATATTCATTTATTGAAACTTACAGATTATTTACAAATTACGACATCTTGTTCTACTTGGCATATCTAAACAAATTTTAAATGTTTGTTTAGATATATTTTTAACTATACATGGTAATTTAGTAATAAATATGAAATAAGTAATGAAAATAACCTGGAAAATATAATCGTCTTAAGGTGGTTCATGTGCAACAGTCTAGTCAATGAGATGTCATTTAGATTCATTTTTAGGTTCTCCCGTAAACGCCTCAAATATAGCAAAAATTAGCATATTAATTTAAGAAACAATTTAAAATGACATTTTAAATATTAATTAATCATCATTATATGATTAAAATATATTTAGTTGACCATCACCAGAAACGCTGGTCCGATCGCGGTGCCTATCCAGGTGCGTTTCTTTTTTCATAAAACATTAAAAATTGTGAATTTGCTTATGCTGATTGCACATTAATTGACCGAATGGTCCGACACTTTGCTTCTGGCAGACAATCGGTATATTGCCAATAACCTATTTAAATCAAAAATATAAAATATGGTCAACAAATGCCGAAGATGCATTAAATACATACCCTGAAAAAAGTTGCATAAATGCTTTTCCTTAAAATCTTTCTTTAAAGTTTTATTGTTTCAATTATTAAAGGCAATTATCTGTTTTATAGTAATCCAACTAATTTATATTTATATTTTACTATCATTTTTTTTACAACTCACTGTCAATCTCAATTGATAAATCTCTTAATTGATGTTTCTAAACATTTGAAAATAGTGAAATCTATGTGATAATAAAATGGATAATATAAATTAATTTTAGATGCCTGATATAGATATTAAATAATTACAAATTATTCAATATTACATACACATGAATGAAAGTTAAACATTGAATCGTGAAGTGTATGTTAAATTTTTAAACAATTATAATTGAAGGAAACTTTGGTACGGTTTTAAAGTAGAACAAAAATAGAAAAATAACAAAATTTTTCCTGAGATATAATTAAATATCATTACATTTTTGAACTTTTTTTCAGAAAAATTGTTTACAACAATTATAGTTTTAAATATGATTAAACTTTGTCAAAGTTGTTGGTAGACCTATAATAATTATATAACATATTATTATTATAGTATATATAGATATAATCATTAATTATAATCAATGATTACACAGACCGATAAAATTTAAAAAAAGTCCGCACCAAAGAGACCAGACAAGGTATTTATAAAGGGATTTGGTGCGCTGAATCCGAATCTGAGCTTAGAATTGCTCTATTATCCTCAGTTTTCTTAACTGAAAAGCGTCAAAAAAACGTTTTGTTGTTGTTTTCCCTGTACATTGTGAAAAAAAAACTTTTTTTTTTGCAAATTTGATCTTTAAGCATATTAAAGAACAACTTTTGCCCTTCAAAACACATGCCTCGTTTTTTTTTTAATATTATTTTTCCGACAGAGATATGACACATTGATGTATGATAAATTTACATTTTCGCAAATGTTTAAGCAGAGGAAAATTTCGCTGAAAAATAATAGTGGTAAACCTATAAGGGTACAGGGTTAGTAGTTTAAAGAACTTAGGATGTAGCGGTCGAAAGTTATTACAGGGTACAGGAATTTTGTGTTGAGGTACTTGGGATGTAGACCAATTAATAGGGCAAAAACGTGACAAAAAGTCTAGAATAGATGGGACCGCTTTTTTTTTATTGATGGCAACATGACAAGTAATGCTATATAATGTGGAAGTAAATAAAATGGGTGCTCAATGGAACCAGGAAGGTGTAAAGTTGATGAAATGATGTTTTTTTCGTTCTCTAAGCGTAGGAATGCATTTTAGAGAAAAAAGTTCAATATGAAAGTTGTCGATAACGAAAAAACCTATAGTTTGAATTATCACACTATATTAATTTCGTTCATTGGTCTTTGCATAAAGAGCGAAAAAGCAACAAAAATGGCCATTATTAAGAATCAATTATTTATGACAATCTTCACTTTTTGCACCCGTTTTAGCTTGCACGATGTAGCTTGTAACATTTTGAAT